GCAATTTAGTTTTTAACCTCCAAGAGGCTCTCAGACAAATATAATCGAACAACTTATTTAAAGTCTGAATTGGTGTATGCTTGACTTATTAGTCAGTGATGAACATCTTTTGNAGATACTTTCTCAACCGTTAACGATTCTGATGAAAAAAAGAAAGAGTTTAGATAGATGTGGGCAATTTAGTTTTTAACCTCCAAGAGGCTCTCAGACAAATATAATCGAACAACTTATTTAAAGTCTGAATTGGTGTATGCTTGACTTATTAGTCAGTGATGAACATCTTTTGTGTACATACAAATACATATGCATATTTTTTATAAATGAAAATCGAGGTTCCCTTTTCGGTCTAATTTCAAAAGCAACTGAAGAAATTTGGAGGAGACTTGATAGAATTAGCATTAATCAATCCGTTATTAACGTTCATAATTCGATTTTAAGTTTTCCTGTAAATTCGCTATAAATATGCTGGTGGACTTCGAAATGTAATTCGCATAAAGGAGTTAGTATTTGGGACCGGTAAAATTCAAAATTGTATGAAAAAAGATGTCTAATTCCGACAGCTGGGCGATACTAGTAAATAAAAAATCTGCTTTATACCCGGTACAGTTTGTAGAAATAAACGATGATCTTTTCAATAATAAAAATTTAGTTGTTTATAAAATATCGTGCATTTTTAAAAGTATTACATAAAAAAATAAATAACGAGTGTTGTAGCCTTAATAGTGTTTCCTTCACATTACAATTTTTAAAAAGGGCGAATGTAATGCTTAAATCCGTAGTCCAATACGTATGTATGAAAATTTTAAAAGAAAAGGAATACATTTTATTTAAACTGAGTTCTTTCAAAAACGGCTCGACAAGTTATGGGCTATACAATTTTTACACATTATTTCTAACATAAATTACCCAAATTAGCAATAAAAAATGATGTGCTATGACCTTCGATTTAAAGTTGGTTCAGGCCCACCGTGCGCAGTATAATAGTACCCAAAAATTTTATTCGTACGTTTTGGAAGTCAGATAATTTGAAGAAATAAATACAATTTCGTGTGTAAGAATTTTGGCGTCTGTCTGAATAAATAATTCTGTAAACAAACATTTGAAATTTATACACTTGCATAAATTTTTTTTTTCCGTTCCAGCAGTTTTTCTTCTGAGAGATATTTTGCTTTTTGACAGTTCTACAGGTTTAAGTGAAAAAATCGCTGGAGACGCACCTTATATTTAGTATTTTCTTGATTTCTTTAAAAATATCGAAAGTAAGTAAGATTTTTTTAATCTGACATATCAACATCAAAAATTTTTTCTGTCGATATCTGAAACCCTAAGAAGAGCATATTTATTCATAAAGATGACCAGTGCAGAATTAAGAAGGGTTTCGTATCTTCATCTACATATATATGTATATCAAAACTATTTTCATTGTTACATTTGAAACTTACAAAGTTTTGTTGTTGTTCATGTTGTTTCTCATTAACGTACTCTCCGTTGATGAAACAATTGATGGACCCCGTTGTAGCGGCAAAGTTTGGTATATCACCAGTATTGGACGTAGTTTTGCTTATAATTATCGTCCCCAATTGATACTGTCGTAGTTGTTGGTGGCTCTGCAGTAGTTCGATCGTTTGTTGGCTGCCATCACCGGACAAATTGCTCAGCGTGCTCGCAGACGGGTCCGACGTATTGCACTCCAGTATGCCGCCGATGAAAATATCCTGCGCCGGTTGCGTTTGCTGACAGCAGCTGACAACGTCCACATTTTGTTGTATGTCCAGCTCATCGAGGAGCAAATGCTCGTTGGCGTGTTCGCTGCATTCATCGCTGGCCGCATTGGCAGAAACGGGCGGTTTTTGCGGGCAGCAATCACTATAACAACTTCCGATTTGTAGTTTCGGTAATTCATCGTATACCGAAGCATTCGTTTGATTTTGTTGGTACTGAAGGCTTTCAAACATATTGCTGTAAGTTGCGGTGTGTTGTTCCGCAGTTGCTGTTGGTGTCGCTGCTGGGGTCGTGCCAGATTTGTTCATATTAAATATAGCTGTTAGTTGCTGTGGTTGTTGTTGTTGTGTTTGCTGCTGATGTCTGTTTCTATATTGCGCTCCCTTGCGGTTGCGTATTCGCTTTCGGTCGGATTTCCGAGGGTCGATACCCAGCTCCCAGTAGCCGCCTTTGCCCTTTTCAAATTTTTTGCGGTCAATTTTTCGAAAACATTGGTGCAGTGACAAATTGTGGCGTATAGAGTTCTGAAATATATTTTTGGACGATGAAAAAATATAAATTACATTTAGAGAAGTAATATATACTCCCATAAAGCAATATTATTATTTTTTTTAATCTACATAAAATTTGATAGGACCGAAAATTTATTTTAATTCAATTTAATTTTATTAATAACTTCAGGCCGGATCAAGGTATCATACGACACATAACCGAATATCAGCTGCAGCTTCATATACCTCTGTCGCTAACAGAGTTCTCCAGATACCGAGCTACCCCCCGTAGCGATTCAGCCTTAAAGGTCCTTGGATACAAAACGAAAATCGATGCCCAAAAAAGGTGACAAGCTCCGCATTAACTCGACCAAGTACGCAGCTCTTTTTGTTGCATTCATAAGTAGCGCAATATATGTGGGAGGCAGGAACGGACGTGCAACTAGAAGAGGACGAACATACTAACTACAGAAGCGGACGAACATATTAACTACATTGAATTGCAACCCTGCGGACTTAACGTACGCATCCTTAGCTTGACGAACGAGACGAGACGCTTGTTGGACGAAATACAGGCAGTTGCAGTTTAAACCTCGGGCGAGCAGCATCACAAGATGCGTAAAACTATTTAATTAACATTCATTAAGATATTAAAACCTAATGTGAACTATTAACTTAACATTTATTAAAATTATACCTAATGTAACATATTTATTGAATAATATAAAATTGAAGCCGGTGGTGGTGACGCGTTAGTGAGGGTGGTGGTATGCAATAAAACGTGTGTTCCAGTAAAGAATATGGTTTTATAATCCTTCACAAGTGCGAAAATTGGGCGTTAAAAAAAAAACATAAAAATGGAAAATTCATACTAAGTTGATTCGGAGAATTTTGTTGAACTCGGCAAATTCAAAGTGACGGTTAGTATTTGAATTGTGACGAACCGAAAAACGCATAAAGTGAGGGAGAAAATTCGAGATGAAGACGTGAGAATCGACGCAGTATAAGCCGCACAGCATTATACTGCAGGCAAGCGAGTTAGAAACAGTACGAAGGCTGAAATAGTACATACATGCCGCACTGCAATGTACTGAGACAGCAATAGTTAAGGTTGCGAACGAGACGAAGGAAGAACCATAGAAAAGTGTTTGAAAAGCGAAGCGAAGTCGTAGAATAAAAAGTTGTTGTAGTAGTGACCCTGTGGGGAAAATCTCTAGTTCTGAACTGGGGCGCTTCTAGTACATTTAGACCCAGTACTGGTTCGCGATAAATCTCTTTTGCATGCAAGCAACTGGCGAATTTAACATGGCGATGTCCTAGGAAGTGTCAATTGCCCCCCGCTGCATCCCTTTTTCGATAGTTCCGAACTAGTCCTAAATTCTATAGTTCCGAACCAGTTCTAAAATCGACAGACGAAAGAAAAAAGTATCATGATTTTTCAATCTTTTCGGTTCTTCCGTGTGTGATTTTACATTGGCTGCGTTTCTTTATACATTCCGGATAACCCCATTTCACAGCCGGAATAAACAGAATGCGTTTGAAGTACACGTCAACGTATCATCGAGAACATTCTAAAGAATAAATAAACAAAAAAGTTAATTCAGAATGAATAAAGAAATGCAGCCATTATTTTCAAAGAAAAGTTTTTTCAATTTAAAATTTAATTTGTTTGAATGATTGTACGTTTACTTACCTTACTGTAGCTGACTTTGCAGAGGTGCTCGCTGTTATTGGTTAGATTCCAGATGGCCCCAAGATGTTAATATGTTAACACAAAGCTTTGTTTTGTATTACCAAACTATGAAATAGCATCTGCGAAGCACAGAATAGAAGCGTATTTGAACGAAAAAGCCGCCGCACAAATATCTATGTAAAGTAAACAAGCCCCCCGCTGCATCCCTTATTCGATAGTTCCGAAATAGTAATAAATTCGACAGATAGGATCTAGTTCGTTCTGCATCCCTTTTTCTATAGTTCTGAACCATTTCTAAATTCGTCACTTTAGATATAAATTTGAAGTGAAAAAAACTGAAAAAATTAGTTTCTTAAAAGTACCACTTTTCGCCGATTTTGGACTGGTGGGGATATAGTTCCTATCGGACTAGTTCCTTTTTGGCGATAAAGACCTAGTACGGAACTAGAAATTTGATTCACTTGTCCGCGGTTTCCCTGCAGGGGAAAGCCAGCAGCAGTGGTGTTAGTTGCAGTGATTTGTGAGTGTATATGTACACGATCGCAAATTAGCGAAGCAGAAGTAGAACTACATACCACGAAGAAGACAGCAGCAGTGGTGTTAGTTGCAGTGATTTGTGAGTGTATATGTACACGATCGCAAATTAGCGAAGCAGAAGTAGAACTACATACCACGAAGAAGACAGCAGCAGTGGTGTTAGTTGCAGTGATTTGTGAGTGTATATGTACACGATCGCAAATTAGCGAAGCAGAAGTAGAACTACATACCACGAAGAAGACAGCAGCAGTGGTGTTAGTAGCAGTGGTTTGTGAGTGTATAGGTGCACAATCGCAACCCTGCAAAAAATGGGACTAATCCGGGAGCAATCGCAAAGGAGCATGCGACTAATACCACTTTTGATCTCTTTATATGGAATGAACTGTTCGCTTTTGTTCGAGCATGTCCTATGAAGAGACTAACTGTTCACCTTTATACCCGAAAGGGTATAAAAAGCGACTAGTCACTTTTAAAAAATAAAAATTTGCGCGAGCTGAGATTCGAACCGGGGTGCTCAGTTTTGTTAGGCGAATACTCTCTCTGCGTGCCAACGCCGCACATGAAATTGCATTGACTAAGTGCGTACATATCATTAAATCGTTAATAGTACCCGATAGCGTTGAGTTGGGGACTAATTGATCTCCAATTATACCCATAAGAGACGAGTCGAGACTAATTGATCTCCATTAGTACCCGACTAATTAATGCCCTATTGTACCCGGTTGAGAGTAATCTCGGAATACTCTCTTTAGAGATTAGTCGCACAATTTTTTGCAGGGAAATTAGCGAAGCAGAAGTAGAACTACATACCACGAAGAAGACAGCAACAGTGGTGTTAGTTGCAGTGATTTGTGAATGTATATGTGCACAATCGCAAATTAGCGAAGTAGAAGTAGAGCTACATACCACAAAGAAGACAACAGTAGTGGCCAGAGTGCAAGCCGAAGAGCTTCGTATTGAGTAGCAACAGCGATAGACCACGATCTCAGAAATGTGTGATTGTATGAGATAAAGCAGTAAAAACAATATATAACGAATATAAAATTACATGAAAGAAGGCATAAAACAGTGACATCAAAAAGAAGAATGCTCAAACTACATATGTAGCGTAATAGTGTGAGCTAAACAACATAATACATAAACAGTGGAAGTTTGAAGCAAACACAGTGTACATTCACTTGAGAATAGCACAAATACAATGAAATAGAAACACAATAAAATAAAACATACCCTATAAACATTTTGGCGAACGTTCGAAAAGTACCTTCGATATCCAATGTGCATATCGAACTGAGAACGAACTCATAACCAACCTTGGTTTTCCAACGTTCAGAGCAAGGCGAATTTATATAAGGTACAAAAGGAGGAGGAGTACAAAAACAAAAACTTACATGTATTTTGTTTTTGCTTTGGCGGCATAAACTGTCAAAATCTGTAAGAGTGTGTGTGGAAATTCAAACAAAATTTTTCAATTTGACATAAGAAGCCGTGAGGCGAAACACATACACAAAATCAGCTGATCTAGTAACACCACCTTATATAAATTCGCCTTGGTTCAGAGTAAATTTTAAATACACTCGAAATGGGTTCTAAAAAAAATTAAAACCATAGTAACAAGAGAGAAAGTGAAATCCAGCTCATTCTCGAAGGAAAATATAAGACAATCGCTCTCTCACAATAAAATTTCAATTCGATAATGGGCTGGATTTCGAATTCATAACGAAGGGAAAATACATTGGATAACGAAGGTGCCGTTTTGCTGGAGAATGGCTTAGTTCTCGAATCGAATACTAACCTATTGCACATTCGTTATCGAAGGTAAGACTCGAAAAAAAGATTGGTTTTCCAATCATTTTCGAATTGCTAACCTAATATTTATTGGGTAACTACACTACGTAATGAAACAACAGGCGTACGTTTTATGCAGAAAAGTGGAAGTAAATAGCAGCGATTGCAGTGCAACTATAGCTCATCAAGAACGACAACAGTGAAACGAGCAGTAACAACCCTGCAAAAATTGCGACTACTCCATGCATGCGTGTAAAGAGTACTCCCTAAGGATCAAGGAGTACTCCAAAATTAAACACAATTCATATAAAAAATAATATCCAATTAACATTGCGATGTCCTAAGGCAGGACCATATCGATGGCTGAGTGGAAGATCGACCTATCTCGGCAGCCAGTTCGAAAACGCTCTATTTCAAAAAACTTTTCAAGAACGCCCTATTTCAGAATTCAATTGAAAAACACCCTATCTCAAAATTCGGTTCAAAAATGCCCTATCCCACTTCAAAATGTATTGAAAATATGCTGATATAGGGCGTTTTTGAATCGGCAGCTGAGATAGGGCGTTTTTGAAACGAATTCTGAAATAGGGCGTTCTTGAAAAGTTTTTTGAGATAGAGCGTTTTCGAACTGGCTGCCGAGATAGGTCGATCTTCCACTCAGCCATCGATATACTCCATCCCTGCATTACATCAGAGTAGCACAAAACTACTCCAACATATTAACAATGGCATTGTTGTTATATTTTTTCGTTTGTACACGCTTTTGTTCTTCACTTCTCAAATGCTTTTTCGAAATTAATAAAAACCAAGAAAAAAATTAAAAATGCCTCTGATGGCATTCGAACCCGAACATGCTGGGAGATATAAACTAACAGCGAGCATCTCTACACGTTCAGCTACAGCCAGACATGCAAATGTGCTTTCAAATGCTCAACTTCAATGACATTTCGTTAAAACACGAGCAGTGATCAGATAACAAACAATAAGCTGGCGCAGAGACACGAGTTGGCCCGAT